TCATTTTTTTATTTTGCAATGCAAATAATTAAATGTTTGTGAATTGATGACAGGCGTTGGCATGCGCATGTGTTTGGTTTGCTTGAACTTTACGTTCCCATTTTGCATTCTGGTTTCCCACAAGTGGGAGCTGTGAGGCCCTAATGTGCAAATTGGAAGCCGTGGTCACGGCCAGTCCATCGGGAAAGTCTCGGCACCAGAACTCCACCTGTAGGCATTTTCCACAATCGGTAGAATACAATTTGGACGTCGTGTAGCGTCTGCGTAGAAACGCATCTCAAGACTGTGGCGCGCGCACGCGTGTGCGTCATGCAGATGTTAATAAACGCAGCGGGTAAACATTCTAGAGCAGTGATTCCAGAGCTGCCTGGGCGCCACGATGGGGAGACGTTAAATTCGTCGTGTGATACAGAGGCGGTGGGTTCGATCCCGACCCTGACGTCTGGATTTTTAGAGTTTGCGTGTCTGTCTCTACTCCTGGGTCGTGTGGATTTTTTTTTGTTTATCCGGGTCCTGCAGTTTTTTTCTCTCCACATTTAGAAACGCACGTTTAAGAGTATTTGGCTGCTATATATTTCCACGTGATAAGCCACTTCGTTGAGCTATCATTTGTGGCCAGGCCGCTTCTGAAAAAGAGATGTACAGCTTAGTGGGGCCTTACTTGGTAAAACAAAAAATAGTATTTAGTTTCACATTTTTTTTAACGGACAACCATGTACCAAAGGCATCATTTTTATTATTCCACGCTTTTATTTAACTTACTCTGTCTGTTGTAGTTGTCGTTGTTGTCGTTGTTGTAGCCTCAAATCTTGTAACTCAAGTTTAACCCACTTCCCAATGTGGTATCGACTGCAAACTTGGTATGCTTATGTCATACTGATGACAATACTAGATTCTATCATTAAAAATGAATATTTTTCAACATTCTTTTTTATATGTTATGTGTCGGCTTGGGTCTAATTGTCCACTGTCAACTGACGTTGGCTGTAAATCACCACGGTCGCCTTACGTTGTGGCAAGCTTCGGGGCCACCTCCTGGAGTCGTGGAGTTCTTACATTACTAGTACGGTACATTTCATTAAAGCGTGTTTTTAAATACTACTAATATCACTCCCAAAAGTGATGTGAAGTATACATTTTAAAAAGCCATAAAAATACGACGACGTTGCATTCCACGGACTCTCGTTAATGATCTGGCCCAGGGGCTTGGCAACGGAAACGACAATAAGATATATTTTTATAACATTCGGTTTTACCCTTTCTGGCAATAAAGCAGGTTTTGATTTGAAGCTTTCGTGACCACAGGAATCCATACTCTTTGGTTCTTTCGGTAAAGTCACGTAGGTAGAAAAATATAATAAATCTCGACGTTTCGATCGCAACACAAGCAATTGTCATCAGGTGGAACAACCACAACAAGAAACAACCTACTGCCCACCAAACCCTTCATACTAAACCCTACTTCACACTAAACCCTTCTTCACACCAAACCCTTCTTCACACTAAACCCTTCTTCACACCAAACCCTTCTTCACAACAAACCCTTCTTCACACTAAACCCTTCTTCACACTAAACCCTTCTTCACACTAAACCCTTCTTCACACCAAACCCTTCTTCACACTAAACCCTTCTTCACACTAACCCTTCTTCACACCAAACCCTTCTTCACACTAAACCCTTCTTCACACTAAACCCTTCTTCACACTAAACCCTTCTTCACACTAAACCCTTCTTCACACTAAACCCTTCTTCACACTAAACGCTTCTTCACACTAAACCCTTCTTCACACTAAACCCTTCTTCACACTAAACCCTTCTTCACACTAAACCCTTCTTCACACTAAACCCTTCTTCACACTAAACCCTTCTTCACACTAAACCCTTCTTCACACTAAACCCTTCTTCACACTAAACGCTTCTTCACACTAAACCCTTCTTCACACTAAACCCTTCTTCACACTAAACCCTTCTTCACACTAAACCCTTCTTCACACTAAACCCTTCTTCACACTAAACCCTTCTTCACACTAAACCCTTCTTCACACTAAACCCTTCTTCACACTAAACCCTTCTTCACACTAAACCCTTCTTCACACTAAACCCTTCTTCACACTAAACCCTTCTTCACACTAAACCCTTCTTCACACTAAACCCTACTTCACACTAAACCCTTCTTCACACTAAACCCTTCTTCACACTAAACCCTTCTTCACACTAAACCCTTCACACTAAACCCTTCTTCACACTAAACCCTTCTTCACACTAAACCCTTCTTCACACCAAACCCTTCTTCACACTAAACCCTTCACACTAAACCCTTCTTCACACCAAACCCTTCTTCACACTAAACCCTTCTTCACACCAAACCCTTCTTCACACTAAACCCTTCACACTGAACCCTTCACACTAAACCCTTCTTCACACCAAACCCTACTTCACAACAAACCCTTCTTCACACTAAACCCTTCTTCACACTAAACCCTTCACACTAAACCCTACTTCACACTAAACCCTTCTTCACACTAAACCCTTCTTCACACTAAACCCCACTTCAGCAGTTTTGTCTTGCTGTGGTTGTCCCACCTGATGATGATTGCTTGTGTTGCAATCGAAACGTCGTGATCTATAATGTTTCTACGTACGTAACTTTACCGAAAGGACCACAGAGTAATAAAGCAGTTGTGTCAAGATGTTATAACACCAAACAGAATGCTTATGCTAGGGATCCTGTCTGCATTAACCACACGTACTTGTGGTGAACATTCAAATAAATAAACATGCTCTGATAACATATGACGCATTGTCCTTGAAACTGATTGGTCCACACCAGAGACAGCTTTCTTTTGAGCCTCGTCTCAAAGTGTTAGACCTATTGTTATATTTTAAAACTGACAAGAAAGGTCCCGTGTTGTAGCTGCTCACCCCGAACTATAAATGCCGTGAGAGTGCATTGTCTTTGTGCTGTTCCCCTTTTGGCATTCTCTTGCCAAACACTTTTTCTTCGAATTCTGTAAAACGAGAAACTCCCCCGCCCCCCCCCCCCCCCCCCCAATCAACATTTCAAGAGCTGCTATGCACTGCGTGGTGGGACACGAGACGGTGATGGTCTTCCTTAATAAATCACCGTAACGAGGCAGCGGTCCTTAAAACAAGCACCAAGTTGGATATGGCCCTGGTGCCGGATTCCTCTTGGGGGCTGTGACCACGAACCGCAGCTGCCCGCAGTCGCCTCGCTAGCAGTGGACACCGGCTGTCTCTGGTGGGAAGAGACAGGCGGTCAAAGGTGGCCGTGCATAAATGACGTCACGCACCTGGGGGGGCGGGGGGGGCGGGGTCAGATCTTTGTGACGATGTATGACGAGGGGGGTGGGTTTGAGAAATCTGACGTCACATAAAAATGCGCAGCTTTAAATAAATATAGACAACGCGTTCTAACTTAATTAAATAGACTTTTTAATCAATGTTTTCTCCTACAACATCAGAGTGCGGCGCCACGTAACATACGTACTACAATGACAATAGTTTAAAGCGATTTGAAACCTATTTTATATTTTGGGGGGAGGGGGGGGGTGGCAGAGCTTTGTGACGTCATATTTGAGGGGGGGGGGGATCTGACTTTTTGTGACGCCGGGGGATCAAAAATCGTCCAAAATCCCGTGACGTCATTTATGGACGGTCCCAAAGGCAGTAAGAGGGGGGGGGGGGGGAGAGTGTGTAAAGGTCTTTTAGCAGGATCCGAATTGTGTAAATTGAGCTCCGTGAATAATTAACGATCTCTCGGTGCCGTGTCGAAGCCCGATTTGCCACCATTGCAATTCTTATTTGAAGCTTTCGTGGCTGCATGAATCGGTACTCCTTTGGTGACTTTACCGAGAGAACCATTTCAATCGCAGAGTGCCGTGTGGGGCATCGGTGCACGCGACTCAGCGTGGGGGTTTTTTGCGGCAGGCGCTGACACCAACGCGCTTGCTGTTGAGGCTCTAGATTTTGGTGTTATAATTTATTTATGTAGTTTGTTGTTAAAAATTCGGTCACAGTCCCTGTGATCACTGTTACATTGCATTTATGGCTTTTATTTTGGTGATTTCGAAAGCGTTTTTTGGGGGGTTTTGGCCCATGTTTTTGTTTATTGTAGTACGGAGTTAGACTGATGGCTTTAATCTTAGTTGTCTTGTGGTTGTTGTTGTTGTTATTTGACTTGCATCCCACTGGGATTTTTGCACACAGCGTTGGTGTACGGTGCTATTTCAGGAATATTTTGATGTGGTTTTTTTTCCTGGATTTTTCTGTTTGCACAGTCACACAAAGTCACTTTAAGATGTTTTCTTGTTCATGTTTTTGTCTGTTGCGGTTGCATCCGATTCAAGAGCCGAATGGCTCACAGGGCTATACCAAAATAAATGAACTAACTATGAACTATGAACACAGACGACTGTGGAGCCCCGTGCCGCCGCCACCACCACCACCAAATTGGGACGTGCTTTTCAGTCGGCACCAGGTCTCACAACAACAACAACAAACCGCGCATTGCCACGAGACACACCGTGATGCTGCCCACCCTCGATGTCGGCACGAATAAAAACCCTGCCACCCGAACACAACGTGCCAACCATAACAGAGAGGGCGGAGGGGGGGGGTTATATAAATGTGTCGTTAAACCCGCCAACCACCCGACACAGCCAATTAGTAAGGTTGTTGTCACGTAAACAGAACGTGCCAATTCGTTACAAGTACAGCACACCGGTGTTTTACAATCAGATTGTAAATGTGTATTTGCTCTCCCAACACACCCGCTGTGCTGTATATTACGGATGATATTTGTCGCGAAAGCCGACTACGACGTTTTTGTTACAAAGCGACAATTTCACTGCACCGGGCCACGTGGGGCAAGGCGGCAAACGCCTCGAGGCGTTGTCAGTGAGGCCTCGCGTTGCCATGGCAACCCGTTCGCCCCGCCCCACGCCCCGCCCCACGCCCCGCCCCGCGAAACTCCCGCCGCGCTACCGCGGAAGTGACGCGCGGCGCCGGAAGTGGACGCGCACGTGCGTGCCATGTGGGAGCGGTGCGGCGCGTGTGTATGTGTGCCGCTTCTTGTGGGTAGCTCGGTGTGTGACGCGCCCCTGACCAGACGCTATGGACTCGTACGGGATGATGATTCGCCCGCCGAACGCCTCCACGGTCTGGCGCGGTCCGCCGCCTCCACCGCCTCCCCATTTCAGCGGGCCGCCCTGGTCAGGGCCTTGGCCTGCGTGGAGACCGCACTTTCCTAGCGGACCCCCCTGGATCAGTGGTGCCCAACCCGGGCCTCACAGCGGCCTCCCATCCGGGCCTCCACCCGGACCTCCACCAGGATTTGGTTGGGGGAACCAGTGGGGATCTCCCCCTCCCAGACACGGTAATGTGGAATTTATAATACAGTTTAACTGCCTGAGGCACATTACATTTTGATTTAAAGCTTTCGTGACTGCAGGAATTAATATTCTTGGCTCTTTCGGTAAAGTCACGTTTAACAATTGCCATTTGGTAGGTGTTTACTTCATAGGGTATGGTTGCTCGTCCTATAAGTTGAATGACTAACTTCGGCCGTGTTGCATAATAATTTGCATCGCTGTGTATAGTATAGCGGGAACAGCAGCCCTCGATACAGCGGAATCGAGGGCTGAAGTTTATTTCAAGCAGCCTCCGTCAACTGCAGAAACAAAGAATCTGAGCACGAACACTAATGAGATGAAACTATCGGTCACCTGTCGTACGACAGTTTACGATGGCAGTGAGTGCTCTTACTTCTGAACACCCCATTATTTGTGTCACGTCTTACTCTTGGTATCTCCCTTCAGGGGGACCGGCAAAAGGCGGCAGCGGCGGCGGTCATGGGGTTCGTGGAGGTCGTAGGGGTCGTGGTGGCAACCACCCACAGCGTTTCGCGTCTCCACATGGCCAGCCGCAACATCCCGCGTCAGACCGGGATGACGACAACCACCAGGGCCCCCCTAAACGCAAGGTAGCCGCGGTTCTCTGCACTGCCGCCTCGCGGGCTGGCTGGTAAAGCTCCTTCTTCTGCGCGTTTGTCCCACTAATGTGGGGGTGTCCGCTCTCCTTGCCAACCTTCTGCACGCTGCCCTGCCCTGCGCCATCTCTCTTTCCGCTCCTCCAGCCACCACGGTCCGATCGCACCACATCGCCACCACCACCTTTTCTTCTGCATTCCTCTTGATCTCTTTCCTTCCACTTGCATCACTTGCCACCTTCTGACCCACGTAATTTCTCAGGTTGTCTCTCCGAATGACCGAAGCACACCAGAGCCTTTTTTCTCTATTTTTCCCCTCTCTCTATTATTCTCTCTCTCTATTATTTCCTCTCTCTTATTCTCTGTCATCTTCCGTTAAAAGCATCACGGGCAAACAGGACGCGGTTGCTGCCTGCACTGGCAGAGTTTATCCGCGTGGTGGCGCTCGCCGCCGCACGCAGAGGAGATGCTCAATGCAACACGTGGAGAGCCCTATAATGGTATGGAGACGTTCAGACCGGGTTGTGCGGCATTGGTGGTCAAGTACAGATTTAACACAAATAAATGAAGCCCGGTCATCGTGAACGCTTTCAGAAATAGGTGTGTATCGACCCCAACCCGGAATATGTTGCTGTTTTTTCCTGGATTTTCTGTTTGCACAAAGTCACATAGTCACTTTAAGATGTTTTTCTTGTTCATGTTTTTGTGTTTGTTGCGGTTGCACCCGATTCAAGAGCCGAATGGCTCACAGGGCTATACCAAATAAATGAAACTGAAAACTGAAACCCCTTCCCTTGGCGATTTTATAACTTGTCACGATTAGAGGCGAACGATTTGATTCAAGGATACATTACCCTTTGAATCGCTGTCATGGCCTCATGCGGCGTGCTGTTATTTTGTTTTACGTTAAGATAAATTCGCGTATTATTGGCGTGTTCTTTTTTTGAAGTCGTAATTCATCGGTTTTGAGACGCGCAATTTCATTAATGTTTCAAAAACATTAACAATGCAGCAATACCGTACTTGTACGTGTACATAAAACACAAATCAGAATCAGAAAGGGTTTTATTCGCCATAAAAGTTCACACCGACACGGAATTTACTTTGGCAGGATGGTGCATACATTCAACATATAGGAATCTAAAATCTTAAATAAGTTTTAAACAAGTCTTACTATAATAATAAGGGTTAAAAGTCTAACTAACACCAAGGGGCTGAAGTATATAAAATTGAATAAATATCGAATACATAGCCTCGGCCTATCGTGACGTTATTCACAAGCGTTGCAGCTCTTGAAATATTGAGGGTTTTTGTTAAACATATATGGCGAATTCGAAAAAAAAGTATCTTCTCGTTATTTTGGTTGCTGACCCCTGCCCTAGTCCAAGGCCTCAGTTAAATGTCCCTTGAGAGCGAGAACCAGAGTGACCGTTTGGCGAAGATTGCACTTGCGTATGGATCGGAGCGCTGAGCCCTCTTGAAGCTTTTGGCGCCCGTGACGAGCGTTGCGGAGGTGGCGATGCCGAGAGGGATTCGTGGAAGTCGTCAGAAACGATGGCGTGAGAAATGAAGAATTGAGAGGACGGGCGAAGGTCGCGTCGAGAGAGGAGAAGTTGACCGGGAATAGGCCGAGACGGTTTGGACACGTGCCCAGAAGGTCAGGAGACCGTATTGGAAAGCAATTTAAGACCGTGGAAGCCAAGTGTGAGAGAAAGAGGCCGAGACTGAAGGGAATGCAGTGAGAAGTTGCCATCGAAGGACGTAAGAGCATGTGGCGGTGCTACTTTGGAGATGGCGATGGGGCCGAAGGCTGTGGAGAGAGAGGACTCGGAAAGCGAGCCCCACTTGGCGTGACGACCGCTCGGCAGAAGAAGAGAAGATTCGACTTCACACCGCCAGTGTCATAACAGCTTTGAAGTTGCCAAAATTAACTTTTTATTTCTTTACATGAGACCGGTTTTGTAAGCACAGATGCTGAGAAAAAAATCCTCGGTAAAGGATGGATACGGGAACTTTGGAATTTAAACACGTGCAAATGTGATACTAATAATGTGTGGGGCTTCTTGTCAGTCCACTGCTGGATGAAGGTGCTCCCTACATTGTGTTTTGTTTGGCAAAGGAGAGTTTGGGGTCCAGAACTTGTTCAGATGTCACTCGCTGCCACAATGCTAGCTGTGGCCGGCAGTCAAACTGAAGTCCCACTTTATCTTGCTTCTCTTTAATCTCACTATGTGCCATCCCATCCTCTACGCTCCCAGTCTCTATTGCCCCTCACTGTGTCTCCCTCACCCAGCGCCCGGTCTCGCTCTCGTTCCTTTTCCCTGCTTGCTTCAATGGAACAAACTCCCACTGCAGCACGTAAAACAAGTCTTCATTGTCTTCACCATAACCTGCTTCCATTCCTCCCTTAAATCCCATCTCTTCTCCCCTCGCCCATCCTGCTGCTACTCCCTGCCCCCACCCCCCAGCTACAACCAGGTCTAACCCAACTCCGATCACGAGCCCGATCACTACCCCTATCACTACCCCTACCACTTCCATAACCTCTTGCACTACCCCTACCACTATCCCTACCCCAACCTCTATAACTACCCCTGCTACTACTCACTGCCTGTTCTCTCTGCCCCCGCTCCCCAGCTGCGACCAGGCCAACCCCAACCCTCCTTGACCACCTGGTCCTCATGTCACCATAACAACACCACCACTTTCAATAACAACCCCACTCTTTATTTCAGCCACTATCATCTTAAGCACAGTTTTATCATCGTTGTTAAGTGCCTTGGAATGATGCGCTGTACACATCTACATGAGATAAGTCATCTTAAATACCCTCCCTCTCACATTCCCACCCTCTGTGCAGAAAAAGAAGAAGGAGCCAGTGTACACCCACTTTTGCGACACCTGCGACCGTGGGTTCAAGAACAAGGAGAAGTATGACGAGCACATGTCGCAGCACACCAAGGTATGCGCGCAGATATTGAAACTCTGCAGTAAATTGTCCCAAGGTTCATCGTCGGCATCATCATCATTATGATCAGCCATGATCAAGACCACTGCCGAACGATGGCTGTAAATGTTGTAACAGTTTGGCTTCGGTGTCTGGTGCGGGTGTGTTTTGCAGTGCAAGGTGGAAGGCTGTACCTTTGAAGCTCACGAGAAGCTGGTGCAGATTCATTGGATGAATGTACGTATTTTAAAACAATACTATTAATAGTAATAGGTTTTTACCCTTTTAGCTGGCACAAAAAACTGACACCTTTATACAAGGCATCATGTTTGCAATAACCACAACACAAGCAGTCAAAAATGCAAACAAAAGAAACAACTCTGATAATGTATGCACTGTTCTTGAATTTGATTGGTCCACACCCGAGACGGCTTTTCTTAGAGCCTAGTCTCCACTGGTGTTGGACCAGATGACGCCATAAGGCGTACAACTCAAAAACAGCGCACTATCAGAGTATTGAGAGCTCGGGGTAAGCCTTTACATTATGAGACCTCCAAACATGATCCCTTGTATAAAGGTGTCAGTTTTTTGTGCCAGCTAAAAGGGTAAAAACCTATTACTATATCTTGTTACTGGCAAAAGAGGTCTCATAATGTAAAGGCTTACCCCGAGCTCTCAATACTCTGATAGTGCGCTGTTTTTGAGTTGTACGCCTTATGGCGTCATCTGGTCCAACACCAGTGGAGACTAGGCTCTAAGAAAAGCCGTCTCGGGTGTGGACCAATCAAATTCAAGGACAGTGCATATCATTATCAGAGTTGTTTCTTTTTGTTTGCATTTTTGACTGCTTGTGTTGTGGTTATTGCAAACATGATCCCTTGTATAAAGGTGTCAGTTTTTTGCCAGCTAAAAGGGTAAAAACCTATTACTATATCTTGTTACTGGCAAAGGAGGTCTCATAATGTAAATACTATTAATGTAGAACAGGTTAATTATTGGAAATGTACGAATCACTGTGACCAATTAACTCCGGGATTATGTCTGATCTCAACCAGAACAGAAGCTAAGCAGGGTTTGAATTTGGTTTCTACTCGACTTGGAGAGCACTTGGGAATACCAAGTCTTGAGTACCTAGGAATAGCAGCGGTTGAATACCTGAGAATATCAGGTGTTGAATACCTGAGAATAGCAGGTGTTGAATCCCTAGGGATAGCAGGGGTTGAATACCTGAGAATAGCAAGTGTTGAATATCTGAGAATAGCAGGTGTTGAATACCTGAGAATAACAGGTGTTGAATACCTGGGGATACCAGGTGTTGAGTACCTGGGGATACCAGGTGTTGAGTACCTTGGAATACCAGGTGTTGAGTACCTGGGGATACCAGGTGTTGAGTACCTGGAATAATCAGGTGTTGAGTACCTGAGAATATCAGGTGGTGAATACCTGAGAATACCAGGTGTTGAATACCTGAGAATAGCAGGTGTGGAATACCTGAGAATATCAGGGGTTGAATACCTGAGAATTAGCACGTGTTGAATACCTGAAAATAGCAGGTGTTGAATACCTGGGGATAGCAGGGGTTGAATACCTGAGAATACCAGGGGTTGAATACCTGAGAATACCAGGTGTTGAATACCTGAGAATAGCAGGGGTTGAATACCTGGGGATACCAGGTGTTGAATACATGAGAATAGCAGGGGTTGAATACCTGGGGATACCAGGTGTTGAATATCTGAGAATAGCAGGTGTTGAATACCTGAGAATATCAGGTGTTGAATACCTGAGAATAGCAGGTGTTGAATACCTGAGAATATCAGGTGTTGAATACCTGAGAATATCAGGTGTTGAATACCTGAGAATATCAGGGGTTGAATACCTGAAAATATCAGGTGTTGAATACCTGAGAATATCAGGTGTTGAATACCTGAGAATAGCAGGTGTTGAATACCTGAGAATATCAGGTGTTGAATACCTGAGAATATCAGGTGTTGAATACCTGAGAATATCAGGGGTTGAATACCTGAAAATATCAGGTGTTGAATACCTGAGAATATCAGGTGTTGAATACCTGAGAATATCAGGTGTTGAATACCTGAAAATATCAGGTGTTGAATACCTGAGAATACCAGGGGTTGAATACCTGAGAATTAGCAGGTGTTGAATACCTGAAAATAGCAGGTGTTGAATACCTGGGGATAGCAGGGGTTGAATACCTGAGAATAGGTGTTGAATACCTGAGAATACCAGGGGTTGAATACCTGAGAATATCAGGTGTTGAATACCTGAGAATATCAGGTGTTGAATACCTGAGAATATCAGGTGTTGAATACCTGAGAAAATCAGGTGTTGAATAGCAGGTGTTGAATACCTGAGAATACCAGGTGTTGAATACCTGGGGATACCAGGTGTTGAGTACCTGGGGATACCAGGTGTTGAGTACCTGGGGATACCAGGTGTTGAGTACCTTGGAATATCAGGTGTTGAGTACCTGGAGATACCAGGTGTTGAGTACCTTGGAATATCAGGTGTTGAGTACCTTGGAATATCAGGTGTTGAGTACCTTGGAATATCAGGTGTTGAGTACCTGTGAATACCAGGTGTTTAAGGCGTGCGATGCGAGATGGCGTAAGAGTTGGCAATGTTGACTGCTTTTTCGTCGTATGTGTGGGTTTTCCCCGGGCTCTCCTTTTTCCCTCCATGTCAAACGCTCCTTCATAAATTTAAGCCAAACATCCCAACGCGAGACCCTCCTGAAAATGTTCTGCGAAGCTTATTGAAGCTTTCCCTCGACAGGTGATGAGGCATCTTTTGCAGAGCATAATGGAACACGTGTGTTTTTTTTTAAACGCTCTTCTGCAAAGTACACAATGATTTGAGCCTTTTCATGAAACCCAAGCTGACCGCTCTACTTACCATTGCTTTTTGTCTTCTGTTTCCATTCTTTAAAATGTTCCTAAAAGTGTACGTGGTTTTTATGAGGCCACGCGGGACGATGACTCAATTCGGTGCGGCCAGGCGTGCCACCTTGATCACCTCCGCTGCTCTCGCTGACTCTCCCCGCCCTGCCCCTTCCCCCCCCGTGCGTGTTGCAGAGGCACGCACCGGGTGCCAAAAGGTTCAAGCTGGAGACGGCGGAGGACATCGCGAAGTGGAGAGAGGAGCGACGGAAGTCAGTAAACCGTCTTGTTGCGTTGTACAACACGGGGCCACCACGGCAGTTGCTGTTTTCACTGCCACCCCCACCGTGCTGTCAAGATCGCCTCCAAAGTGCACTTTCTCTGCCTTATCAGAGACTCCGGTCACTGAACGGGGGGGGGAGGGGACAAGCCTTATCTGGAAGAGCGCTGCTGGATTAACACATGAGGGGTCTTTCCCCAGCGTAAAATCAATGCCGCCCCTTTCTGACTCTCGCCACCGACTGAGTGTCCCTCGATATCTGAAATTTCCCATCTCCGGTTTTTTGCGCATTCCGAGTGGCGTTTACAGCCGAGAACAACTCCGAATAATAACCCCCCCCCCCCCCCCCCCATTACGGGCATTGGATATTGCTGAGCAGCAGCAGCAGCAGCAGCAGGCACCCCTGGCTCTCACCTGGGGAGGCATCCGCGGGTCTGCCCAGAGATATGCCTCGTTTTGGTCCACCTTGTGACTTGTCTTGAACAAAACCGACCACGCGCTCGCGTGAACGCCATCGCCGTTGTAGCATGACGAAGCGCGATTGTAAAGGTGAGCCTTCGCTCAAGCGGTTGAGAGTCACGGCGATCATCTCGTATTTTTGTGACGTGACGATGTTTCCCCCCCCCCCTCCACCCCCTTTATCTTTAATGTATTTGCTTATTTAATTGATTTTCCCAGGAACTTTCCGACCACCGTGAATGTGGCTCGCAAGAGGGTGCTGAACGAAGAGAGGGAGGCCAGAGGAGACGTTTTGACAACAGCGCAGTTTGGGTGAGTGGAGTTTAAATTTCATTAAATGTTTTATGCTCTGCCCTGGGGGGGGGCACTGTGACCTGATTTTTTTTCTTCTCTCTCTCATCTTTAATAATTATCGAACTGCCAGTCGTGCGGATGGATGCGTTCCCAGAGCTTGCGACCGCGAGAGTGAGTCACTGTTTTTTTGGGAGGTGTGTTGTCAAGGCAACGTCCAAATCCCGCCACAATTACCACGTGTCCGTCAAACGGGCCACCCGGGCACCCTAGACAAAGGAGCAGCGCCGCTGAAAACTGGTCTCCCATGTTTGACGGGTGTTCTCGTTGCGACGCGCGTAACCATTAACCCCGCGAGAGGCGAGCTGGCTTCTGATTTAAACTAAAACTAAACTTTTTAAAAAAAAAAATTACCAGGCGTTAGCGCATTGAGATATGTAGCTCTTTTTTCAGAAGCAACTTGGTCACAAATGATCGCTCAACGAAGCGGCTTATCATGTTGAAATTTATCGCAGCCTAATACTCTAAACGTATGTTTCTAAATGTGGATGGAAAAACCGGAGGTTCTGGCGAAAAATCCACTCCGCCACGGGGAGAACACGCAAACTTCAAATATACAGGTGTCAGGGTTGGGTTCGAACCCACGACCTCCTGCATACCAGGCGAGGGAGTTAACATCTCGCCACCGCGGCACCCTTTTTTGTGATGTAACCTCGGCTGGAGTGGCCCAGCATGGCAGCTTAAACAGAAATTGGCAAACTCTACCCAGACTCGTGAGCCCACACACGTGTTCGAGTCAGGGGTTAAATAAAAGCTTTTCAATGAGCATCTTTTTGGCAGTACATGTACCGATGGCTGCGTGTGATTATACAACGGGTTTATTTTTCGAGTGGTGTTCACACGCACATTTAGTTTACGTTGGATGCCACTCGAAGATAACGTTTGGTACGGGATAGTGGAGGTTTGAAGACGCGCTGATAAATCGGTTGAGCTCACGAAACTCCGCGCCGAATCGCACGTGTGAGAATCTGTGTGTTTCGGTGTGTACTCGTCGTACATAATGAGTTAGTGTGAATCCCCTGCAGCCACCAGAGGCCGTTAAATTCACAACAATGTAAAAAAAAAAGCAACTCCTGAAATGGCTTGCAACCATGAATCGTGATAATTTTATCGAATTTATGGGCAATATTGGAGGGTGGGGGGAGGGTAGAGGGGGGGGGGCAGTTGGGGTGGGTAGGACTGAAACTTCTAAATCATTAAACCACGAGTGCAGATAACAATACCGTGCGTACGGTCGTGGCAATTTCACGCACGGGAGTCTCACGGTGTAAAAGATCTCTCGCCATTGTTCACAGACCCAGGCTGTTGTTGGGCCGGCGTCGCGGCCAAATTTGGTAAAGTTACCCTCCCTGTTACTCGGTTGCACGATCGCCTCGGCAACTAACACCGATAGCTTTGCCGGGGCGAGGACACCGCGTGTGTGTTTGAGACGGGAGGGTAGTAACCCAGTATGAGACTGCCTCGGGGAAACACCTGCCGCGGTGGAGGAGACGTAACCCGGCGATCCTGTGGCGATACAATGCAGCGTTTTACGACATAATTCAGGGTGGATTTCTGCATGGCGACTGCATCCCAGGACAATGTGAGTGGGGGGGGGGGACACTCTGATCTAGAGAACCTGAGGAGTGGTTGTTTGTTTGACTAGAGCAAGGGAATGACATAATTTGACACATTATAGAGAGAATTGAGACAATGTTGAAGCAGAAGTGCTTCGAAAGACAACTGCAGAGAGAGATTCATTATTGTGGCGGAAGAGGAGAGGAAAATCTTGAGCCTGCAATGGAGCAGGGCAAGGATCTCGGCTGTGTGGACAAGCATACGAAGGGAGTTCCAGACATTGGGAGCAGCAGCAGAGAGAATGACATCCCCGTTGTCGGAAGGTCGAATGAGGCTTTGGACAGAAGGGCCCTTGGGCTGCTGGAGCTCGGAGAATGTGAAGGGGGAGTAGAGTGGGAAACAAGTGGGGATGTTAGAGAGGTGTACGTGTCGACTGTAGATCTTTAAGTTGGTGAGAAACGATCTTGTCTCTCTGGTGGAGGGATCGGAAGGACCTGGCCGATGTAGTCTCGATGACTGGTGCGTGCTTGTGAGCGAACTCCGACAGCCGTTTTGTAACACCTGGGGGCGGGGGGGGGTGCTCTGCCCGTTCTCCCAGGAGGATGCGCGGTCGCGGGCGGTGGCGGGGCCATGCAACGTGGAGGCACAGGGAGCGTCCGGGTGGCCCGGGGGGCGACTGCAACCGCAACGGCGTAGAGCGACGTACAACCCCCACCCCGAGTCAAGGATGGTCCGGCCCGTCGGAGACGAGCCAATCGGCAGCCAGCGACGAGGACCGCGTGGGGAAAGCCGCAAAGGCCTATGGGAAAGAGGTTGACCCGCTGAGCATTCTGGCAGACAGCGATGGAGGTACGTCTTGACAGCTGTTGAAATTCGTTCCGTTCTTCGTGTGTAAGGAACGTGATCTGTTCGTCGGTTTAAGCATTTGAGCGATTTTTATCGTGCGGAGTTGAGTAAGAACGAACAAAGGACACGGCACATTTGCATAAAATAACTTGAGTACAAAATCCCCTCGGCTGCCAATTTAAATCGGTGTCGGTGAAGGAGCCGGCGACTTGGCCCCTCCGCGGCAGGATGACCGCGCGCCCTCCGAGGGGCTCGCAAGGTTGAAACTCATTTCGCTATAACTGCCTTTTCTTTTTGAGTCTGTTTTCCTGCCCTCGCAACCTCCCATTCGCGCGGTTGGCCACGTGCGGTGCGAAATAAGTTCACGGGGATGTTTGTTCATTCGTCCGTTGAGCAGGCGGCGCCCAACTCCACGTGTGGGCGACGTAGCCTCTGGGCGTTTCGCGGGCTCCAAATGAAGTGCCTGTGACGTGACCCCACACGCCCCCCACGCCCCCCACGCACCCCACGCACCCTACGCCCCCCACGCCGACGTGGGCGGCGGTGTTTTCCACGACGTTGCAATGGAAGTGATGGCAGCCGGATTGGCCAACGGGGGTTGGCCCTCGGCTCGCACGTCCCCAACGTTTTGCTTTTCTTTGGTCGGTCGAGAAAGAAAGAGAGAGAGAGAGAGAGAAAAGACTTTTTTTTTTCATGAAAATTATCGTAATTACAATTGCATTTGTTATTCATCCAGAGAAGCCTTTGTTGAGTCTCGAGGCTCTTTTAAGGAGGGCGCTGTACTTGGATGTTTGGCCAGCGGTTTGACGAGGAGACCGGAGGACCCAGAAAAAATCAATGAAGTGTAAGGTGGGAGGGGGGAGGGGTAAACGCTCCAAGCTGCACGGAAGGTGGCTTCAACTTCCCTAGCCGCGCTGCCGCCACTGGCCACCTCGCGAGTCTATAACGCCTGCTACTCCCGGGCAGTCCCCGTCTACTAACCGCCAGCCAGGGCTCAACTCTGCTTTAGCGTCTGACATCTGACGAGGCTTCCGGGGGGTGGGGAGGGGGGGGTACGGTTTGGTCGCGGGCGACGTTCGACCGCCGTCGCCGCGACGTTCCGTTCCGCGCGTTCGTTTTAGCGGCGGAGCGCCCCAATTCGCCGTGCCGCTACAAAGGGAGCGTCGTGCCGCGTGGCTGCGTTTCGGCTCCGCTTTGCTCAACGGAGCCATTGTCTTAAATGTCAGCGTACCCTCTCCGCCTCTCTCTCTATCTCTCTCTCGTACGCGGCGCTTTCGGGGGACAAAGGCGGATGGGGCGCGCGACAGCGGCGTGTGCGGCACCTGCCTTCGGAACGAACTCGGCGAGGGATCCGTGACGCGTGTCTCCGCACGCGCCCTGTGGACGCGTTGACCTCGATGCGGACCCCCGGGCCGCCCGGCGGTCAGAGACACGGGGTTCGGAAGCGGCCGCGAGCTCGTCACGTGTAATTGGTCAGAGTTCCAGCTGTACGAGGTGGAAGCAGGATAACATCGCTTTGACTGCTGTGCGATTGCAATCTGCACGAACGACGACGCGATACAAAAACCAAGCCTAACAACACCGTCGTTGTGGTCGCTGATGTCCCCCTTGTTGACGCACGTGCGTCACCGTCGCGCTGTGGCCGCAGACTCGGACAGGGAGGAGAAGGCTGCGGCGGCGGCGGCGGCGGCTGTCGGCGCCAGCACCAGCGCCGTGATTCCGTGCCGCGTGACGGCTGGGCTCGGCGCGCTCATGGCAAACTACGGAAGTGACTCGGACAGCGCGGGCGACGACGAGCCGCCCCAAGGTGAGGGTCGTGGGGGGTTGCGAGGTCACGGCGGGGAGGGTTCAAACTGTTTTAATATTTTTTTAATTTTACCAGGTAAGGCCCACTGAGCTCTACAGCCCTTTTTCAGAAGCCACCTGGCCACGAGTGATAGCTCAACGAAGCGGCTTATCAGGTGGAAATTTATCACAGCCAAATACTCAAAGCGCGTGACGTTGATTCTAAATGTGGAGTGGAAAGCCGAAGGACCCGGAGAAAAATCCACGCGACCACGGGAAGAACAGACAAACTCTAAATATGCAGCAGGCGTCAGGGTCGGGCTCAACTCACAACCTCCTGTAGACCAAACACGTAGGCCGCCCAGATTAATTGGGTTGCCGCCCTACAGCAGGTTTGTTGACGGCACGAAGGGGGACGTGAGAGTGAAGAGGCCTTGAGCAGGACATCGCGAGACAATGGACAGCGAGCGACGCGGGTGACGGGATGGCAGCAGTGGATTGGATTGTGTCCAGGACGATGGCTCGCCTTCGATGTGGAGCGATGAGAGCGGTTGGGGAGTGAAAGATGACGAGATGTTAACTACTTTGCCTGGTATGCAGGAGGTTGTGGGTTTGATCCCGACCCTAACGTGTGCTGTATATTTGGAGTTTGCGTGTCTCTGCCTCTCCCCGTGGTCACGCGGTTCTTCCTTCCACATTTAGAATCAACATGCGTTTCGAGTATTTGGTTGCTATAAATTTCCAAGTGGTAAGCCACTTCGTTGAGCTATCAATTATAGCCAGGTCCCTTCTGAGTTTTTGTTTAAATAGGTGGTGGTGACATTGGAGCATGGGGGATGGAGGCCTTCATTCAGCAGTGGATAGATTTGGGCTGATGATGACGATGAACGGCTAAAGAGCGGAGAGAGAGAGAGAGGGGTGTGTGTGATGTCACCGGAGTGCTGTGAAGGAGCGTCTCCTTTTAATAAGTTCCCCGCACAAACAAAGTTAGAAACGCGTCCAGCTTCCCCGTTGTGCCGTCCTGCCGACGTCGCCGCCGCGTCTGTATTTGAACCGGGAGGGATGTCTGAGTGGCGTCACGGGGACGCCATAATTGAGCACGTTGATAGCAACTTACAAGTCTTTTCACATATGGGTTTAGTGATGACGTCATCTTGCTTCTATTTAAGACCGGAAGCAGGTGGAGTGCTTCACTATTCTGGCAAATCGCCCGATGATGCTGGATGTAATTACCAGCGAAACGTCGTATTGAAGTTGGAAATGTTGTGGATTTACTCTCCAACGCACCAGAGGGCTGAAGTAGTAACGAATTGGCGCGTTGTTTACGTAACAAACCATCCGGGCTGTGTTGGGTGGTGGAGGGTTACGACACATTTATACTTACGCGAACTAACCCAAAAACCTTCATTATGAACACTATTGGTCGCGAAAGCCTACGTGTTAAACTCCTTTCACACTCGTCTCAGGCGGCGTGCATCGCTTGTAGCCACAAGAGAAGAGCCGTGTCGCTCTATGGCTGCATCTACGCAATATACAAGGTGGTCCAGTTGTCTTGTGACCCCCCCCCCCCCCCCCCCCATTAAGTTTGAAACAGTTAAATGGGCGGCGGGCACTTGGACCACCCATTGCAGCAGCCAGGGGCCGCACGGTGTGGCCGTTTTGCGTCGGCCCTTGCGGAGCCTGCGCACGAGTGCAGCGCGCCGGTGCAGCGAGCGTAGCTGGCGAGTGCAGGCGGTGCAACGGCAGCTACGAGTCCCGGACTCGAGAGGGGGTGGGGGGGGGGGGTGGAGGAGGGGTGGAAAGTTTAGCGGAAGCGGCTTATCACGTGGACATTTATATCAGCCAAACGCTGGAGGGGAAAAAGAACGGAGGACCCGGATAAAAAAAAATCCACGCGGCCACGGGGAGAGCTAACATGCAAACTCCAAATATAGAGGCGTCGGGGTCGAGATCGAACCCACGTCCTCCTGTGTACCAGGCGAGGTAGTTAACATCTCCTAGCCACCGTGACCTGCTGACAGCGGTAGGTGGGTGGAGCGGGGGGGGGTGCACCACCACCCCTTCTCTCATTCGTTGCGCCATGGCATCGTGCCAGCCAACAACGGCGGTTCTTGTGCGTTCGCTCGCCACGCTTGGAAAGTGGATACGAGCTCAGCGAATTAGGGAAAATCCTAATGATCGCGGCCACCTGCTCAGACGTGCCGTGTCGCTTGAAATACCGGTCGCGTTTCTCGGAAGTGGAGCGGATTAGGTGACGAGTCAAAAAAGCGATGATACGCGTGCGTGCGTGCGTGTAGTGCAGTGTATAACGTGACGGGAGAGAAGCCCTTCCTGGCACGAGTTACTCGCAGCAGCTGTAAGTGCCAAAAGTGATGCCTTTTAAAAAGCGGGTGGCTCAAGTCACATGACCGAGCCGCGCCCACTGCCGAGAACCTGGGTTCGAATCTGGGTTTCAGCCGCCGGTGATTAAATCGAGTTCTCAAATGACAGCGAGTTAATGGTCACCAATGGGTGCGATTTTTGTTGAGCTATTTCGACCGATTTCCAGCTCTGAGAATGATGCCCACTGGGCTTGCTTAGCCGTGCCCTGCAGCAGGGCAATGTGGGATCAGCGCACCAATCGGCGCGTAGATGAGAGGCCACTTGCAAGGGATCTCGGATGTAGCTCTGCGGTATCCGCTTCCGCCCACCGTTCTCTGCGCGCCCTTACCGTGGTGGAGTTCATCTCGTGATCACGATGCCGATAGCGCAGTTGGAATGAAACTGGGCGGGTGGGTGGGTGGAGGGGGGGCAAAAGACGCGGCACGCCTTGCCCGCGTGCGTCCACGCGATCGAGAGTGGCCAAGCGCATCACACCGACGACCCCGGATGGCACGTAATGGCGATGACCCCCCCCCTGCCCAACCCCCCCCTCCACCTCGCCCCCCGTGGTGGGGGGTGGGGGAGGTGGTTTCGTCCCGGTGCTTGGCAGATGGCCATAATTAACGTTGCTAAATCCGATCCTTTAGTGGAGGCCGCGGGTCCTCAGACGCCCCTCGTGTACTCCACGAGCCGGTGCCACCCCGCGGGAGGCACTCGCTACCCTCCAGAAATGCCGCCCCCGGCGGGGGGATGTGTGACGAAGGATCGGTTAGGTCGCCGTCGATTCGTTTGGGGGGGCCCGACGGCGGGGGGGGGGGAAGGCGGGGGCGCGCGTGGATTTCGCGCGTGTGTCGACGCTCTCTTGGGCTTGTTGCGCGCGTCGTGCGGCGACGGGGGGGGGGGTTTGCGCGACTCCTGCGGAGGAAATCGATTCTGTAACGGAATCAAGCTAATGAAATTGTGACGGTTCGGTTGATCGCGAAAGGGGCAGGTGTGGTTACGCCGTCTCGTGGCTGAGCGTTAGGTACCCACCCAGACTCTGGGCATTCTCTTTGGCCGTGTGCCATCACGCTTGTGTTATTTCTCGACAAAAATCCCTCATTTGAGCCGTTTCCTTCACTCCATTCGCATATTAATATAGCACGAAAATGTGATTGGCATATGCATTGCATACGCTTGAAAATGATAGATTTGTATGCGCAATCTATGTATGTATCCTGAGAATACGAAATGGCATTAGTTAATGGACAGATGCACAGTTGCACACCCAACACCTCTTAATAGTTTTGCTTTGTGGCCTGCACTTGAACGTGTGCAATGGAGGAGTCAATCCACGCCTCTAATCCAGCACTGTGTGGAGGCAGCAGTGAGGGTTTGATGGATCCCACAAATGTTGTGAAACTCCCTTCCCGTGGGAGTCGATGTGTGCCATACCCTGAAGACGGCAAAGTGTGAACCAATCTCCATCTGTGTTCTTTCTGTACGGGATGGGTTTTGTCAAGACGCCCTGGTTTCCTCTCACATGCGAACACTCGTTCATTGCCTCAAAACACATTTGACCTAAAACTTTGGTGACTGCAGGAATTCATATTCTTGGGTCATTCGGTAAAGTCGTGCAGATGGATACTTTTATTATAAAAGAAAAAATAATAGAAGTAAAAAATTTAAATTAAAATCATTAAAAAAATACATCGAAACTTTAGCTTTGATTATTTTCATTCAATCTATTAATATTTTTTATATTTAATTTTTTTATTTTAAGTTACTTTTTGTTTTCTACCTACGTGACTTTACCGAAAGAACCAAGAATATGCCTCACAACACGATGGCTCGCCGCGTGGCTGCTGCCATTCCCGCTCACCTGTGGTTCCTCCTCGCGCCTCTCCGTTCTCTCTCGTTGAATGTGAGCAAATGCTGTCCACTTTAAAATTATCATTATTATTATTATTGCGGGACTTCGAAGCATTCCATGCGCGAAACGGAACGCGGTTCATTCGATTCAGAAATGTCGAGCAGTTGCGGAATTTATTTTTGTTTCATTTTTCTTGGAGCTCGGGCTGAGCCTGAGGCGTAAATCGCCTGCCCCAGGCCGTTGGCGCGATAGCGATCGCGCCACCAGTCCCAGGGTGCGCCGCGGTCAAATCGAGGCGACGCCGACAGCGGAGTGGTGCGACCCGAGACACCAAGGGGGTGTGTGACCTACGACCCTCGCATCGGACACGGCCGCTCGGCGCGGTGTCGACCGTCCCCCCGGGCGCTGGCGGAGGGCGAATGGCCGGTGAACAAATCGGGCTGGCAGTTCACCGGCAACTCGGTTTTCACTTTTGTTCGCGAACGTGAACCGACCCTGTGGACTATTGGGTTGCGTTGCTGTTAGCGACTTACCCTGTTGAAAGCCGCCCAGAGTGTTTGAAAGCTTTTGTCCAAAACGTGGCACAAGCCAGAGCAGCAAACATGAGGACAATTTGCAATCACGTGAACATTTTTGCCCCGACGTCTACTCGTCGGGGAGCTGCGACGCTGCAATTCACAAAACGTCCCGAGGACAAACGCAAGTTTGAAAGCGTTTGCGTAATCTATGTGCGCGCGGATCTTCCTCACTTGTTTTTGTTTGTCCGTTTGCAGAGCTGTCGTCCAAACGGCCCGAGGCTAAAGAACCGGAGCGACGCTTCCCGCCCAGCAAGGCCGCCGAGAAGTCGCTGGGCGGCGGCGCGGAGCCGCCCGGAACCCAAGCGCAGGACAGCGGGGATCTAGCAGCGGAGAAGCCAAGAGTTCCACAGTTGCAGGGCGGCCGCGGGCAGGGTGGTGACGGGCAGGGCGGCGACGAGCGAGGCGGCCGTGGGCAGGGCGGTCACGGGCAGGGTGGCCGCTGGCAGAGCGGCCATGAGCAGGGCGGCGGCTGGCAGGGCGGCCATGAGCAGGGCGGCCGCTGGCAGGGCGGCCGCTGGCAGGGCGGCCGCTGGCGAGCAGGCGACCGCGGGAAGGGCCGAGGGAGGGGCCGGGGCGCCTACGGACGTGGACAAATGGCCAAGCCTCGGCCCACGCTGCTGGCAATGGTAAGAGAAGCCTAGCCACGCGGCGGAATGTATGTTTCAACCCCCCGTGTAACGGGTCTCCCACCCCCACACCCCCCCAGTGATTCCATGAGTTGATGTCACGGTTTGTTGTCGTGGTTACATTCACGAATGGGTTCTGTTTTTGCCTGCTCATGGTCACATTTGGATTGAACCACTGTGAACTCTGCAAGTGTATGAATTGCCGTGCGAGTCTATGGCTCTCTACTTGAGCCCACTTAGTGAATTATTGTTAACTCCATGCTAGTCTATGGGTCTTTATGCAAGTCCATGGTTCTCTATGCGAGTCCATGACCCTCTGCGTGAATCTGTGGGTCTCTATTGTGAGTCTGTGAATCTCCATTTCAGTCTATGGGCTCTACGTGGGCCCCCTTGGCAGTGGACTCATGTGAACTCTAGAAGTTGAACAGAGGCATTGAAGCAATCTGCCGTTCATACACCGAATCCCTTTCCCGGCTTAACCAATATTGGCAGAAAGTTATAAGTCGCATTTTTTTCTAGCCATACAACCGAGGGATATGATCCTCCTTTGAAGTCGACGTGTCTCTCGTGCATCCCGCGACTCTCCCAACGCAACGGCTCTCGGTGTCCTCGTCTGTTCTTCGCCGGTGATTGTTCGACGCATCGGCCACGCCACGCGCGACACCACGCGCTGACGCCGTTCGACGTTTGGGAGAGATGGGCGCGAGCGGATCACTTGACCGACGGGAGCGTCGCGTGTGTCCGCTCGTCGCGTCTCACTCGTTTGGCTCGTCCTGCGCGGAAGCAACGTCGGCGGTGTCCGTTTAACGGTTCGTAGATTCGTCGGTCAAAAAATGAGATTGTTCAGCTCGCGGTACATGCTGCGATTTGCGCGACAATCGCTGGCTGTGTCGATTCCTTGCGTGCCTCGTGTGCTGCTGGGTCACGCTGGTCCTGCAGCTGCTACTACGTTCGTCAAAGTAGAAATCACATCACCTTTCGAATCAAATCGAATGGCGATTGTGAATCGCCGACTCTTTGTGCGAGCGCGAGATGGGCGAACCTTAGCTTGCGTCGTACACGTCACGTGGCTCGGCTGTCTCGACAGCTATCTGTTACGGCTCGTGAAACCTCTCAACTACCCCCCCCCCGCCCGCCCGCCGCCTATCGCTTTGTCAGTTTCTGCCCAAAAGGGATTTGTTTGTGGAGCGCGCTCGTGTTTAATAACACGGGTGCCATGGTTGACAGCCCGGGCGTCAGGCGGAACCTGCCGAGGAGTTTGCGTTGTGGTCTTGGGGTGGGTACTGTACCCCTGAAATAGACCCCGCACGGTTAAACAATTGCGCGCGCACTTGCTCGGACCTGAATTTACGACGACGGTGTTTTATTGCTGCCAAAAAGAAATGGGCCGCTGGGATCTTTTTCGCGAGACAACTTTGGAGCAATTTAAATGTAAATTTCCGTGGCATTCATTCCAGGAGCCGGCTTGTCTGGGTGATGTTTTAATCTCGTGCTCCCTTCCCACCCCCCCCCACCCCCCCCGTTGCCCCCATCGCCCGTGATCTCTGCAGCTGCTGGCACCAGACATGAGGAAAGAGAGGAACGCCATCCTGCAGTGCGTCCGCTACGTCGTCCAGAGAGGCTTCTTCGCGGCGACCGGCGAGCGGAGGCCCAGCGCGGGAAGTCGCGCCGATTCGGCCCCATCGAACGACGCCGAGCCGACGGGCGTGGCCGAGAGGTCGGAGGTGACAGGTCACCGCGACTCCGAGGAGCGCCCCGTCGATGTTGCAACGATCTCAAAAGAAACGGCGGTCGACCACGACGCCAGGGCCAGCGAGGAGATCTGGGAAACTCCGCCCTTGGTGGAGGTGCCCACTTAGGATGTTCCGCTTCCCCATGCACAAACTCGGCGAAAAGAGAGGGAGAGAGAGAGAGAGAAAAAAAACGCATGCACAGGAGATTAGCCGGTGTGTTTTTTTTATCTCTTAACATTTTCGGAAGCTCGTCAGTGCGACGTGTCTCTTGGCCGCGTGGCACCGCGATTTTCGGCCTTTGCAATGAAAAATGATAGAGGAGTTGTTAGTAGGTAAGGACTTGTTAGTAAGTAAGGAGTTGTTAGTAAGTAAGGACTTGTTAGTAAGTAAGGAGTTGTTAGTAAGTAGTTGTTAGTAAGTAAGGAGTTGTTAGTAAGTAAGGAGTAGTCAGTAAGGACTTGTGCCTTGCTTTCTATTCGACGCGTGTGCGGCAATGGCACAGCCATCGATCGAGGGTCGAATTGCGAACCGCGTTGTGTGATCGGCATCGCGCTCGCTGAAGTTGTTGATGCCTTCAGGGAAGTCGTGGACTGTATATGCAACTGCGAACTATTCTGTGAGTCACTTATAACTGCTTTGCCGTTACTTATTGCTAATTATGGACTCAGACTATTGTCCTATCATCTCATAGAGTCCCTGGCACGTTATTACATGCTACACAGTGGGGGTCGCAAAATGCCGATTTATTACTAATAAACCCCAATGATCCGATCGACATTTGGGATTTCAATCGGATCATTGGGGGGGGGGGGGGGGGGCACGTGCCACCCCACCCCCTCCACTGGCTCCGTCAGTGTGCGGGGGAGCGCGAGCTGCAGTCAGCTGCTGGGGCGTCCGTCTCGCGGAACGCTCATAATTCTGTAAGCGCAGACAACTTGCGATGGTCACACGGAGTCCCCGGTGAACAACGGAGTCTTCCCGTTACTGCCGAGCGTATTCGAGTAGATCAAGTCGCGCGTGATGTGCCAAACCCGAGACGATCGGTACATCACGCCGCGCTCGAACACGCACTCGCTTTTTTTTACATTTAGCACGGTGGAAGGGGCGAGGGGGCGTGGGGGGGATTTTTTTTTTATTAAACTCTGTACACAGCGCGACGCATCACCTTACTGTTGAGAACGGTCCACAGAAGGAGACGTCTCCGAACCGTTTCTGAGATCCCCCTTCAAGTGGCTTCTCGTTCCATGCGAAGGCCACTGCAACTTTCCGACGCACTCTGGTATTGAGGCGTGTGTGCGTTGCATGGCAATCTAACCAAATAAAATATATATTGTCCAGAGCTGTTTTTTTTTTAACTTTTTGCCTAATTCAATGAAAAAATGAAGTTGGATGTGATGGGATTGTTGCAGTCAATAACGATCAGCTGAAACCATCAAATGTCGCCACACTTGATGACACAGTTTCATCACGGGCGGCTTAATGCCCTAGACCCCGAGCCCACCGGGCCACACCTCCACGTGTTTATTATTTTGTCAATTTGAAAGGAGGGCCACGGGCATTGATTTGAGCTTAAAATATACTTTATGATGACACGCGAGACACATTCCAGCCAATTGCAAGCCAGCGGTATAATTTGCCTTGGATCGCCCATTTTTATTGAAATTGAGTTATCGGCGTTGTGTCATCAGACGGAGATGCACTTTCAACTCTGCAGGTAGTAGTGCATCACATGCTATCGAGAGAACTGCCCTGGGAAGAAGCCGTCACAGAACTACATCTGGGGTTACCAAAATCGCATCTCCTATCCACACTTGGGGCCTATGCTCTGTATAAAGTGTTCGTCTTGTCCATTCAGATAATTAAAATAATTGTAAGGGTTGCAATGTGACGAATTAAAGCAACAGAAGCAAAGATGTGTGGTTCGTTCGCTGGTGACTGGGCTGAGACTATCAACACGCTGCACCTGGGAAGCCACTTTAATCACGGGCGGCTCAGACACCGGATTGAAACGCAGCATCCTGGCTTTGTGATCTCCGGTACTCTTTGATCGCAAGCAGCAGCCTCGAGTCCTTTAACAAAGCATTCGGTTTCGACGTCACAAAAAAATGTAAAACACGAGAAATTCCCAAAGCCGCGTGTAGTTGAGAAAGGCGATCTTTATTTTCTCTCCTGTCTCATCGTATGCCTCGAGTGAAAGATATTCCGCAAAAATGTTACAAACGTTTACGGATTTTTCTGCACCTTTTTTTTACAAACTTAGCCAGTTGTTTGATACCAACGGGTTTGTTCTTTACAGACGCGGGCGCAAAGTTGGGAAGTTGGGAGCCAAATGGCGTTGGTCTATTATTGACGTGAGAACTGCAAGGGGCCATACGGGCTGTCCGCCCCCCCCCCCCCCAGAGCGCGCGTTTGATTATCTGGGTAGCACGGCTTGCCAGGACACGTCGCAGCACAACCAAGCCTCTGTCATGAGAACCGAAATGGGCCGCACGGGCAGGCCCGTGGGCAGCAGGCTTTCGCACCACCAGGCACTACCTTGCGGCCCCGTTACACTACCTGCCCACACGCTCTTCGGGGCTCTGTTCTGTGTGTGTGTGGCCACAGGGAGCGGTGGTGTAGCAGTTAGCCGCGCTGCGCTACGTACCCCGGCGACCCGAGTTCGATTCCCGCTCACGAATCCAGTGACCATTATCTGAACCCTAGGTCGACTTGGCCGCAGATTAGTACCCGGTGCGGTGTGTAAACATCGCCACTGGGGAGACAAAGGCGGCCGGGGCGCGGTGTTGGCCAACCACCTCCTGGTGTGCCGGCTTTCGTAGATGCTCGCCAACAGCACTTGCCCCGACAGTATGTTAAGGCTGTACGGCGGATCTTTGTCTTTGTGGCCACGGAGGAGGGTGAATTTGAGAAGTGGCCAGGCGGTCAGAGAAGCGGCGAGGTGAGGGCAAGGTTGTGGTCACAGAGGTGGGTGGAGAGCTGGGAGGGTTCGAGGTGGGGAGAGAGGTCGAGCTGGTGGGTGGAGAGGGAGGCAGGTGGCTACGCAGGTGGTTAAAGGTAGGAAAATGAATAGGGAGGTGTAACAATGTGTGGAGTGCTTGACAGGCGGTGGAGAAGCGGGCCCGTGGGTAGAGAAGTGGGTCAAGAGGGTAGAGGTCAGCTTGCAGGCATGTGTGTCAATAAGAAAGTGGCACCATGCTTCGTAATTGATTCACGAATCGTAGAATTGGTCGCAAAAGCCTACGTGTTAAATTTAAGTGTCGTCTCATTGCAGCATGTTGTCCGTGGGCAGGTGGCCAGGGCAGGGTGGGCGGGCGGTCGCCGGTTTTGATCGCGTGTTTACTATTCTAAACTATTTTAGTTTGCCAGGTAAGGCTCGCTGATCTATACAGCTCTCTTTCAGAAGCGACCTGGCCACAAATGATAGCTAAACGAAGTGGCTTATCGTGTGGACATTTATAGCAGCCAAATACTCTCAACGCGTGATTTCGTTTCTAAATGTGGAGGGAAAAACCGGAGGACCCGGAGAAAAATCCACGCGACCGCGGGGAGAGAGACGCGCGAGCTCCAAATATACGGCAGGGGTCAGGATCAAACCGACAACCGCCTGTAAACCGGGCGAGGGAGTTAACATCTCCTAGCCACCGTGTGTCACGTGTGTGTGTGTCAGGGGACGCGACACGGGACCTGGTTCCAAGGTTCGTGCCCGCAAACGGTCGCCTGGCTCGCTGCCAGGAAGGGGAGCAGAGAGCTCCGCCACCAACTTCCTCCGCTGTGCAAAGTCCCGGGGTGCCGCCCGTTGTGCGGTGCCACGTGTTTCAGGGTTGGCTGTATGTACCGTATACATGTTGAACTTATTTCGCACCGTACGTAGCCAACCGTGCTAATCGGTGGTGCGGGGGAAGGCCATCAAACTATGGGCCTGTGCGAATCTATGGGTCTCTCTGTGAGTCTGTATGTACGTTGAACTTTTTTCGCACCGCACGTAGCCAGCCGCGCTAATCGGAGGTGCCGGGGAAGGACGACAAAACTAAACACAAAAAGCACTTGTAAAGAAATGAGTTTTAAATCTGGATTTAGACGTGGATAGCTCCGATGGCTTCCTAATATCGGAAGGGAGAACATTCAAGACGGTCGCAGAAGTTCACCATACACAATACAGATCTGAAAGCGTGCGATGCGGTGACGGTCTTTGTTCGATAGCGAAGCCATAAGCCGCTGCGAGGCTGGCACGGCGGTTCCCACGGTCCCCCCACTGCCCGGTCTCACGACGTGCACGCCCGCTTACAGCCCTCTTTTTATTTTTTACTGTCAATTCACTGCTGGATTGGGAGCCTTCGCAGGCGCCGTACTTTGCCACGCGAGCCGGTGCCGGCTTAATGAGAGTCGTTTTGAGCGGAGCGCAGCACGGCAATGGATTTTGCGCCACTGCTGCCCTCCGCTACCAAGGTAGCCCCACCGCCCGACAGCAGCCTATAACACCTGTGTTCTCTTCGTCCGATACTGCCGGCAACCGGTCCAACGTTCTCGCCGTCGTTGTGCAGCGGTGGCCCGGCAGCGCGGTCTCCAGATTACGCATGCATGACCGTCCATCCAAGAAGCACCCGGGCATCACGCCTGCTTTAGCTGCTCGTTATTCGGCGCATTCCGGGTGTCGTGGTGACGGGATTCAATAGCTCGATCTTGATCGTCGTCGTCGTCGTCATCATCATCACGATGAAACAACCATGATCTCGCCACTGCTGCGTGAAGGCGCCCCCAAGAACGTCGCCACCTGCGATCGCAATGATCCGCCCGGCACCTGCGCCACGGGCTGATGTCATCGCTTCAGCTCTTGGAGGGAGGGGAGGGTTCTCCCTCGGCCACGTTCCAATAGCAAATAACAAGGTATACGTTTCCCCCAAATGAGTGTGTACAGAACCAGCTACTGGGGGGGGGGGGGGTGTGGAGGAGAGGGGTTGAGGATATAATTTCTAGAGCTCAGCCCCAGACAGCTCCAGTTAAAATTAAGCCCCCCTCCCCCCCCCCGTGTTTTAAATGTAAAGCTGGAACAACGTACACCAACGGCGGCTAGGTTGAAAACAAATATTGGCTGAGCTGAAGCAGCTGCCTCGTTGCGTATTCCCCGAGACTAACAAAGACAAAGGCTCCCCCCCCCACCCCGTATAGCTTCAACAGGC